GACTTTTGCAAAAACCGCTCTGGACGAGGTCGTTTACAGCGACTTTTGGGATTGTGGCTATTTATTGGGCAAAAATATCAGAATAAATTGTTGGTTGCAAACCAAAATTTCGCAGGCGCACGCCCAAAGCACGCCTTTGTCGGTTGCCGGTGGTTCGTCACTCCACTCCGGTGTGTACTGGTAGGTCCTCGACGGGAGAACTTTACCCATGTGAAGCACGGCTATGGTAAGTCATTTCCATGTCGAGGGTAGCTGCACACACAACGCATCGAACGCTGTACACATGCCCCTCCCGCGCGACCTCCTACTTGTACTGAACCCTAGGCTCTGTGTATTGTAAACTGATTTCAGGTTAGCTAGGCGTTGATCTTATGGGTTGCGCATGCCTAGAGTTAGTAGTGATGACTGCACGACTCCTTCGGGAAGGAGAAGGTCACACCGACGCTCAAGGTTGAAACACATAGCATTGTCGGTCGGTTTGACCTTTACCGGTGCGCCATTAGCGTGGCAGTCTATATTTCCAAGCCGCCGACTTACGACTGACTTGCGTAGATACATACAGTAGTTCTCATGCGCTATATCTACTCTACGTCGTTTCGCCACTCGCCGCCTGAACATTTGGCCACCACAGCCACTACGTGACAACAATTTTCTGCGCTCCGCTATCATAGAGCTGAAAATGGACAATGAATTTTAGGGCGCATCATTGGTTGATTTTTCTCTGTTATTAACCAATGTCAGTGAAGGCAAAAAGTCGCTGATATTTCAGCGGCTTGTGGAAAAAGCCAAAAACCGCTGACCACAAAAGTCGCTCCGAACACGCTAAGTCAGTAGCAACACAAGGTCCGAGGTTCGGTTACTTTAGGTTACATCCGCAACAGTGGACTGTGGCTAACGTTATCAGGGAATATTACTCCGTGTTTGACATTCCCGTCGTACAGAATTACTACAAGTATTCACATTCAACTCCCAACGCATTCAACCTTGGACGTTATACGTACTAGTATACAAGACGAATATACAAATGCACACAATTTGTTAAGCGATGTGGTCTGTGTCGTTCAGAATGTTTGGGAAATGGTCGACCGTTGTACTAGTAACGTTAGCTTACTAGTACTAGTACAGTGTACTATGTAGTAATGTCATTTTGCCCATGGAAATATTGACGAATAATTCCCTCATTAAAACAGTTCCACATTTGTTTTGACCCGAAATACTGTTTCAAGAGGGAATTATTACATCCGGATACACCATTTCTCCAGTAGACCTGTAACCTGGGACTCCGTCCTACCCCCGGTGAGTACATACGATGCTAAATCTCCGGGGTTAACTGCATCGCTAGTGGTTAGCTATCGCTAACCACTGAGATGCACTTAACCCCTAGTAAGAGGTGAGGTGGTATGAGCATACAAAGTTCCATATCAATCTCATTGAAACAGTATTTCGGGTCAAAACAACAGTGGAATTGTTTCAATGAGGGAATTGTACCACGATCACGGGTAATCGCCAATATGTGAGTAACGTTATATCAGCAAACCTTCGCCAAAATGTGAGCGCACTTAACAAAGATCATCGCACTTAACAAATATCGATCAAACATTTGACACTTTGAAATTTAACTTACTCACGTATACTAGTCAAATCGATTCCAGTCGAATGCCATACTACCGGTAGTGTAACAGCATTTACCGTCTATGCCAATCAAATCACATCGTGTCGGGTTTCTGCCAATCCAAACGATTGATACATGAAATGGATCAGAATGCAGACTCACAAGTTCCAAACTTGGGTGAAATGCACAATAGTATGGCGGTGGAGCTTACGATGCGACATGTATGTTTTAGAGTGTTGTGACAACCGCAGGATAACGTTATTGCAGGGATCCAAGCAGTTATAAACTACTTCGAAGTACTTCGAAGGAAGTTACTAGTACTATTAATTGTAGTACATGATGTAGTATTGATGTGAACAAAGTTATTCCACATCGGTTTAATCCCTAGAATATCTAATACTTCGAAGTACTAGTATTGTATTGGATGCAGTACTCTGGGGTAGTACAATCAATATTCTAGTATATTCCAATCCTCACGCTGATGGGTGTTCACAGCACGAGCAATATGACACTTCAACGAACATGCCCACACAGGCACGCACATTTTCACTCACATTATTACTAGTACAACGTTTAACATTGGGGCTTCGTTGTGGTGGGGGTAGGGGCCGTGGTCAAAGCAGGGGTCGTGGTAGGGATCGCAGTAGTCGGGATCGCGGTAGTAGGGGTCGCGGTAGTAGGGGCCGTGCCATTAAACACGGCCACTTGCTTAGCGAATTGCCACAACCCGTAGTAGATTTCGTCTCCGCGTTGGGGGATCTCCGAGAACGGCACGACAAAGTCCTTGGCGGTCATTTCAATTGTCAGCGTGGGCTTGCCGTACGTGCGGTAGTGGTAGTCATCGAACGCCCCGTACGCCAGGTACAGCTTGCCACTGGGCTCGGCCACGTACAAGGTTTTGCCAGTCACGTTGTTCATCACAACGGCCATGGCGTTGCCGAGGACGGCGAACTTTTCGTCTTCGCCCCCGCCGATGGGGTCGTGCGTGTCACCGTAGGGGTACATGATCAACCCCGCGTACGAATGCACGTCGACAAAGCCGAGGATTTCGCCCTGCTTGGACTTGCCAAAGATATCGATGCCCTTGGCCTCGGGCTCGCTGAACGGGAACGGCCCGGGGTAGTTTTGGTCGACCGGCTTGGGGGGCTTGGGGTTGACGAACTTGCTGATAAAGTTGCGGTTCAAGTCGACTTGGTTGGCGTTCTTGCGCTGGTACCGCTTCCCGGGGGTCCACGAGATGTCGTACCCGTCCACGTTGACCACGGGGACGTAGTACAAATTGTACAAGTCCGTCGGGCCTGGCTTGCCGTTGGCAATGTCGTCCAAGTAGCGAGAGAACGCCCATAGCGTGGACGCCCCCGTCGTCCATTCGCGGGCGTGGATGAGCGATTCAAAGTACAGCGAATGCGTTTGCTCCTTGGGGCTCAGCTTGTACCCGTAGATGGGCTGCTTGCGCACCGACTCTGCGATTTGAAACTTGGTGAAGATCTTGGCGTTTTGCTGCACGAGCACATCAAGGTACTCGTAGATTTGAGACGTTGTGCGGAAACACCCGTGGAACTTGCTCGCTTGGTAGTTGCCAGGCTTGAGCAGCGGAAGGTACCCGCCGTTGGATTCGTGGCACTTACGGTTTACGTCGCCATCGTCTTGGATGGCTTGGAGTTGCTCGGGGGTGCGGATCTTGCCGTCATTGATTTCTTCGTTGGTCAACGTCAAGGAAGCGGTGACGGCGGAAGTAGCCAGCACGGCAAACAGCGCGACGAACGATACTTTCATCGGGACAACGTGGAATTCAAAAGTGAGCACTTTGGGTGTACTAGTATAAAATAGTAGGTACCTATCAAATGATTTCGGAAAAGCAGCCACAGGACATTTGATTCACATCCCATCGAGTGCTAATCTAATGGTATGTTGGTGTGGGTGGCCGCAATGTTTGGCGGCCACAACCTTTCGTTTGATAGGGTTTGGACATGTTTACGAATCGTGAGGAACGAACAACATGGCTCATAGGAACTTGCATGTAGATATTTCAGATATGAGCCCAAACTGCTGTTTGTGGGTGCCCAGGTGCTCCAGTACTAATACTAGTAGTACGTAAGTAATTACTACTAGTACGTAGTATTAATAACTGTCAGTACTACTACTACAGTACTGTATCCTGATCTGTAGGTTTTCGATTCAATTCTTGTGGACTGCTTGACTACAGTACCGGTATCACTCATTGGTTGTCAACTCTGCCATGTGATGATTGGCCATATGAGTGGAATGATTAAGTTCAAAGTAAGACTTAAAATGATGGATGATGGGTGATTAACAACCAAGAGATTTTTCGTCCAGGGCTGCTCAAAACATGCCGAATTCAACCGCGGATTCAGATGTTTTGAAAACCAAATGTGATAATAAAATAAACATGCTTGTATTAAACATACAAATCGCAAGTTAAATAAATATGTGGATATAATGGAAATCAATTATTGTGAATGCGAGAACCCCAGGGCAATACTAATTCCTGGTGTAGATATTATGTGCGATACGGTAAGTAATGTAATCTTGTTTAACAGTACGGTAACAGTACGACTGGTTAATTGAGTTTGGATTATCATTTTTAAGACATTCCTCGCGAGGGCCAACACTAGAACCACATGTTATGGAACCGCTTCGCCACTTGTAACGCGCCTGCTCGACCAGGGGCGGTGTGTAATCTTCGGTTTTTACTTCGCTCAACGCTTCATACCTCGTGCTTCGACCGATCTTCTTCGAAGTTCGGTCCTCGTCTTCGTACGCAGCCCTTGTTATCCGGATTCCCCAGGGGAGGGACGGATAAATCCTTGCGGAAATAATCCGGGGAATCCGGGGATCGAACCCACGACCTTTGAGTTAAGAAACCGATGCTCTACCACCTGAGCTATTCCCCCCCCTGTAACAGTACGACTGGTATACAGTACCTGTAGTGTAAAAAAGGTTTGACTTTGTGAGAACATTTGTAGTGAGTGATACATTTACAAGCATAGCCATCGCATTCGCGCAACTCGATTCAGAACCAAGAGATCTGCGAAATCCCCACGAGGTCAAGAGACCTACTAGTACAGTACTAGTACCTTGTAATATGGGGAAGAGCACTCCGGAGTACTTCCTATCATGCTCGATGGACAAAGTCTGGGACAGCTCGAATTCCACTATCACCATTGAGTTCTGGTTCTCTTTTAACTGTAAAGG